CCGCTGGCCCCAGCCCCAGCGGCCCCCGGCCCAGCACCGCGCCGGCCCCGCGGCCCCTGCCGAGCACTGCCGGCCCCGCACGGCCAGCCCCAGCCCCAGTGGCCCCGGCCGAGCACCGCCGGGCCCTCCCTCCCTATTTTCCCGGACATGTCTGGCTTTTTGGGATTTCCCCCGGATGGGGATTTGAGGCCCAAAAATCCGGACATGTCCGGGAAAATCCGGACGTATGGTAAGCCTAAAAATTTTTCCTAAATTAAAATCAAAGGTTAATACATATACTGGCCCTATTCTCCACTGCCTTGCATCTTGTGTGGACAGTGACGCTTGAGTATTGGTCATGGCATAAGAACAGCTATATTGAGTCAGACCAATGGTTAATCTAGCCCAGTACTCTATCTTTTGACAGTGGCCAATGCCAGGTGCTTCGGAGGGAATGAACAGTATAGGTAATCAAGTGATCATTCGCTGTTGCCCATTCCCAGCTTCCGGCAAACAGAGGTTAGGGACACTTCAGAGCATGGTTTTGCATCCCTGCCCAATTAACATCTATCCTAATTAACATAACATAAAAGCATGTGACTGGGCAGTTCTTTGGACTTTTTAACTACAATTTTAATCTTTGTGAGCAATGCAGCAAAACATTTGCTGAAATCAGAGGCTAAAACTCTGAAGGCACATCTTTCAGAAGAAAATGACAAATAATTTTAGTTATTTTCCCCCCTAAATTTTCATTTTACAGATGGCATGGCTTCATAAATGGTTTGGTTTCTATGCTACTAAAACCAATTACAGGGACAATAAAATACTATGACAGAAGAGACAAGTAAAATATTAGAGTAATGGTTTAGGGATGTAAGTATATGTGCGTGAGAGAGAGGAGAGTTTGTGGGTTAAAGGGTGTCCCTACCCTGCCCTGGAAAATAAACATTATATAATTCTGCCAGAAGGTGGAGCAATGAAACAAGAAATAAACGCTTGCAGGGCTACTTCAGTGAAAGAACTGTTCCTCAGATCTGATAATTAACATTAACATCTACAAAAATGCTACTGAAACTACGATTATATTCTACACTCATTGAGGTCGATTCTGGAGTGAAGCAACTGCTAGTCAAGAAGCTAGAATAGCGTCCTGGGGAATCCCTCCTGAGCTACTCTGAACACCTTACAACTTCCAATTAAGGGACATACTGGGCATGGGAGGGAGAGTGGCCAGAGAGCTCTGGCTATCAATGTTCTGGGTGGCCCTGCAGCCCATAGGAGCTGGGCAAGGCTGACAAATTAGAGCAGGCTGGGAATTTGGGAGGCACAAATGTGGCTTAGGGGTTGTGTACATCAGGAAATTTATAGGCATAATTATACCGGTATAATTCCCTGTGTGGACATTTTTCCAGGATAAGCTTGTCCAAAAGAAGAGTTAAACTGATATAATTATGCCAGTAAATTTCACCAGTGAGACAAGCCCTTAGAAACACAGATGAAAGGTGCAGCACAGATTCTGGATGATTGTGCCTGGGCCCAGTCTTTAGCCATCTAGTAGAGCTCAGGTAAAAGGAGCAAGAGGAATGGCATCTAAGTGCCCTCTAAACTGCGCAGCCACGCAGCAGGCTATTAAAGGCCGCGCAGGCAAGGAGAGATACCCGGAGCTGCCGCGGCTGCAGAGAGGCGCCTCTCTCCAGGCCCCAGCCTTGGAGCTGCCGCGACCGGGGAAAAGCGCCTCTCCCTGGCCCCGGGCTGCTGCAGCAAGAGAGGGCTGAGGGGAGTCCTCTCTCCCCATCGCAGCCCTGGGGCAGCCTGCACCCCAAACCTCTCCCTCATCCCTGTCCTCACCCCAGAGCCTGCACTCCAACCCTGAACCCCCATCCCCCATACTCCAACCCTCTGCCCCAGCCCTGAGCCCCCTCCCACATTCCGAACCCCTCGCACCCACCCCTGCCACACATCACCTCCATATTGGTTCACATAACAAAATTCATTCCGCAAGGGGATGTAAAAAATTAGAGGGAACATTGAATGGCATCCTCATCTTTAAACCTAGGACAGATGATGAATGTCTCCTCCTCTTCCCACTCCCTGACTCTTCTGTACTTACATAATTCCAGCCCTGAACAGAGCTCTCCATAAGTAGAGGACAGTGCCAAAGATGTGGTTGATTTCCACCCCCCTTATTCCCCCTTTGGCAACAGGAGTCAGAGATCTAAACTATGAAAGGACCAAAGGACTTGATTTGGCACTTAATATGCCTTGGAAACTGCCAGAAGCCGGGAATGGGCAATAGGGAATGGTTCACTTGATGATTACCTGTTCTGTTAATTTCCTCTGGGGCACCTGTCATTGGCCACTGTCGGAAGACAGGATATTGGGCTAGATGGACCTTTGGTCTTACCCAGTATGGCCGTTCTTATGTTCTTATGGACATAAATCAGCATCACAAAAACAAATCTCTGGAGAACTATAATAAAGTGAAATCTAAACATAAAGAAGCATATTGTTACAAGGAGGAAGGAGAAAAATTGTTCTCCTTAACCACTGAGGGAAGGACAAGAAGCAATGAGCTTGAATTGCAACAAGGGTGGTTTAGGAACATTAGGAAAAACTTCCTAACTGCCAGGGTAGTTAAGCACGGGAATAAATTGCTAGGGAGACTGTGGAATCTCCATCATTGGAGATTTTCAAGAATAGGTTAGACAAACACCTGTCAGGGATGGTCTAGATAATACTTAGTCCTGCCGTGAGTCCAAGGGACAGGACTAGATGACCTCTCGAGGTCCCTTCTGGTCCTACAATTCTATTATTTCATTTTACCAAACAGTTTAGTTTTAACATTCAGATTGAACTTCTTCGCTTCAGAATTGGTTGCTACCACTTGACACATAATAGGTCTGAGGAATGAATGTGGGTATGTAATTATCAGAGACAAAAACAGATTTCCTATACCAAATATATGAAATCCAGTATGTCTTTATTTGGTGAGGGTGGACACGTGCGCGCGCGCACACACACACACACACACACACACACATACTAATTAACGCTCATTTTACATCATCCAGACACTTATTATAATTACTAATTCTGTAAAGAGGGAGCAGAGTTGGCATATAGATAAACAAGATGGAGGCATTGCAGAAATGGGGGGCAGGAAGTGTATTTTCAGAACAGTGTGTATTTGATGCACAATTTGAATTATTGTTAACAGGATTTGTACATCCAAATTTGTACTCTTGGAAAGTGCTCTTCCCATTGTCCAGTTGCTGTATAATAATATCCCCAAAACAGTCATGCATTTTTATTGTGATTTTCTCATTCATCATCATCTTCTTATATTGTTGCTTTCCAGGCAGCTTACCCAAAATCACAACTGTTTGCATGAAACTTGCTTTTGACTTATAACGGATTGGAAAATAAGATACTCTTTAAATTAACACCTCATTGATCCTGAGTTCCAAATAAATATAGCAACATTTTGTACTAAAGCTAAGCTGGTTGCCTGGCTTGTAAATAGCTCTTATTTTTCTACAGTGTGTGTCAGTCACTCTTAACAAT